CCCTCAGCCTAAGTGTGCCTGCTTTTTTCCTCTTTACAACAGCTATATCGGAACACTTCATAATTAAAGTGCCATCCTTCTGCCAGGCACATAGGGAACCACTGACTTGTTCTGCGGGTGAAGGATGGAGGTGATCTGGGTAGGTGAACTACTGAGCTCTGGGTTGAAGATACCACATCTGAACCTGGAAATGCCCGGAGATCCTTTTGCCACTGGAAACACCTTTTCTCCTCACCTCAGTGGAGTCCTCCTCGTCAGAAAGAGCTGATGAGCTTCTTCAAACCTCAATATTATGCCAGATGTGTGGGAAAGAGAAAAAATAAAGGTGTCTGAATGATTCCTGTGCAGAGAAAAATCTATCTTTCCCCCATCTCTCCTTTTTCCTCCATCCCCCATCTTACTTGAGAGCAGTAAAGAGCTTCACATTAAGATACTGAACCCATCACAGTTGGAACAGACAAAGCCAGAGTGAGGAGGGAGGTGATAGAGGCTGAGACAATGTATTTTTAGTCATTTCGATGAATTATGGAGACATGAAGATGATAATTTATTGAAGAAGAGAAACGGGGGACTCTGTGTAAATGTTTTCAGATGAATAATTAATGTAGCTTTCTAGCATCAGGGGGTCTTTAATTAAAGCGTCTGTTAAACAAGGCAAGGCAGACGAGCCCAGCTCCTTGCAGCAGCTAATTGCACCTTTCCCATGTAGAGCTACAACTCAGAGAGGAAGCATCATTTGCACCCACAAAGCAGGACTGATTCCACCTGGGGTGCGAGGCGGGAGGCTGCAGGAACCAGCGCAGTGGCTGCTCTAGTGCCCATCGCATTTTAAACCAGGTTGGCATGCAGGCCAAGTGATGGGGGCGGGAAGGGGAGGGTGCAGCGGGTACCAGCTCTCGGGAATGCAGGCGGCCACTCAGCACTGCCCAAGGACGACAGTCTCCTCGGGAGGGAGCCCTCTCAGGTCCTGCTGTCACTGTGGGGCATTTCTGCCATTTCTGCCTCCCTGGCTCCCGGCCAAGGATGGGCCACAGCGGAGTGGAGTACAGGAATATGGCAGGATTCAGAGAATGGAGGGATCAGGCCAACAAGACCTTCCCACTGTCTATTCTTAACTGCTGTGCTTCCCCCCAGTGCCCTCCACAAGCACCACATAGTGAGGTGAATATCACATCCTTGCCTTCCTTCAGGGAATGTCCACACACCATTAGCTGATGAGGASAGGATGTGATCTTTATCACCAGTGCATTCACTGTGGACATCGTGGAAACACAGAGCATCACAATCACAGAATCCTTAAGGTTGGAAGGGACCTCAGAGGTCATCTAGTCCAACGCCCTGCCCACGCAGGGTCACCTAGAGCACGTGGCACAGGGCTACATCCAAGCGGGTTTGGAAGATCTCCAGAGGAGACTCCACAACCTCTCTGGGCAGCATGTTCCAGGGCTCTGTCACCCTCACTGTCAAGAATTTTTTCCTTCCTCTCCCTCCTGYGCCAGGAGAGCGCACCACAGTGCAGCAACGGTGAGAAAACTAAGGCCTTCTTCTCAAGCAYTTGTGGTCTGCTATGGAGGTCTAGGACAAGCTACCAAGGGAAAGTATAAAACTGTCACAGCTTTAGGCTCCAGGAATAAGAATGGGACAACTAYGGAATGGTAGAAGCTACTCTAGGTAATATCACCAATAAGAATAACCTAAAATTTGGCTTCTTTCTCCAAGATCTCCAGGGAATCAGGAGTGATTTTCCCAGCTTGGGGRATGAGGTCACATTTCTCTGGAGAATGCCCTCTGAATTACACACAGATTAATTAGTTTTGACACCTTCGCAAAGCAGCTAATTGTCTCATACTTTTCATTCATTTACAGCACCAATAACATTCGTGATAACAATATAAAGTGAGGCAGGGACAAGGAAGAGAGAGCTGAAATTTCTTTTTAATAGAAAAGGCCAAACCTGAAGTAGTTTAAATAGATTCCCCAATGCAAGTATTTTAGAACCTTAAAAACATGCTGCTTTCCTGCACCACAGGAGATAAGACTAAAGGTGATCACAAAGGGGTTACCAAGGTTTGTTTAAAGCATTGCAGGTGATTGTCCATGTTCAGAACTTGCATTTGAGCCCCCCTCTTTTGGCACTGGGCACAGAAAAACAATCTGGACAGCTCCACATCACGAAAAATCCCACCATTCCCTGCAAACACCTGGATTTTCAGGAAAGCACCCACTTTTCCAGATTACAAGCATGCAAACACCTGGATTTTCAGGAAAGCACCCACTTTTCCAGATTACAAGCACGCGTCCTCTGTTCACACCAACGCTCTGGACAGGTCTGGCGTGAAGCTGCAAGCTCCGCAAAGGTTTGTTGCTGTGTTTTCCACAGTAGTCCTGGAGGAGACACTGGGAGCTGCCGCACGCAGCTACGCGGCTCTGCTGCTCTCTGCTGGGAAACGCAGGGAGAGTCCCGGCAAGCTGCCGGCCCGGGGAAAGCGCTGGATTTGCCAGCATGCTGAAGCACTCGAAGCCACTGCATGAAAGAGGCCCCTTCAGCACAGCCTCTGCTTGACAGGACTGGCAGAACTGAGCCCGTACCAAAGGCTCCTGGTGTTACCCAGACTGGGCACAGTCTCAGCCTGTTGAAAACTAAGTGCCCCCCTCCTCGTTCCAGCAGGAATTCCCGGCCAATTTCTTCCCCTGATTCTCCCCCCTCTCCCTCCTGCGTGCCAGAGCTGCTTTGCTCCACACTGCCCTGGGAGCTTGCAAGGCCTCTCCTGGTGCACAGGAGGCAGGCGAGCCCCAGCACACGCGCAGCCAACGTGTGCAGCACATGCACCGCTTGCCCAAGTAACAGCTCAACACACGGAAAGCAGYGGTGACCCGCCGAGGACCAGAGCCACCAACCCATCCCTGCCCACAGCCTGCTTTTCCAGAACACCACTCCATAGCTCTTTGCTGTCCAGCCATCGGGAAGGCCTGAACTAGGACTGACGGGAAGCGCCCAGCACCACAGCTCAGAGCCTCTAGGATCACGCAGCAAATGAAGCTCAGAGCTCCAGAAAGCCCGAGTGCTGCCAGAGGCTCCTACCCAAAGCAAAGGGAGCGATTCCAGAGCTTGCTGCTGACCAGGAGCCCGTGTGCCTGTAAGCAAAGCCACATCATCTCCTCGTGGGTATCTTCAGAACTGGACTTTTTAAAACATATTTACAGCCCCATAAGAAGAAATATCAAAGTGAGCAGACTGTGAAAAGTGATTTGTTCCAACTCTTCACTGCATAGTTGCAAGAAACCAATCAAAGAGGCTCGGGAGTAGTTTGAGTATAAGTTATTAACCCAGAAGGCACCGCATTGTTAACCAACATTATTTACAGTTAACAGCTCAACCATTTCCACCGAACAACTGTGTGATACTGCAGGGACAAATGCAATGAGTTACTGCACAGATAGGACAGAACTAGGAGCAGATCTCTGTTACAGCTGCTGGAAGAAGTGTCCCCAGGAGACAGACACTGAATCTCTAATGGCCATCTTCTTTCTCTGACAATTTATTTAAGTTTTAACTTAACAGCAGGAATGATAGCTACAGTTACGGAGTGACTTTCAATAAAGGCGCGTATTGCTGATCTGCAGCTGGCGTTTTCTTATTTATTCCAAAGTCTTTAAGTTTCAGTCTTAGCATATGGTACCATATAAATAATGATATAATAATATGGTTTTGTTTTCCCTGTGACTGGATAGAAAAAAAAAAAAGTGATTTATGTTACACAGTGTTGTATTTAAGGCATGATTTTACTCAGAATTTTTAATGTACTTAAAATGCATCTTCTGTTTTTTGGTTTTTTTTTTTTTTTTTTTTTTTTTTTGGTAGTCTGTTCTTTTGAAAGAATAAATAGAGCAGTGATGTTTATTTAATAGAGTCATTCATCTTAATTCCTTGTATAAAATCCCGGCTTTCCAGCCCCAGAAGCCAGACCCCTGCAGTAGGTAGTGCGGCTGCAGGAGGAGAGCTCTGCTGTTTACCACAGAGGCACAGCAGAAAGGAAGATGTGGGGCTCTGAATTTACCCAYAGCAGGGCTACAGCTGAAGCCGGCGGGCAACTGAGAGCTGCTCGGCACCACCTTGCAAAGGAAGGAGAGGGGAAACCCATGGGAGAGCCGTTCTGCAGGGCTCACGCAGCAGGGAGAACCGCGCCAGGGCGCTGGGCACAGGAATGGCCCTACGTGCGCAGGGGAGAGCAGGTGCCTGTGCCAGCTGGGGCAGCAAAAGCCCCTACAGGACAGCCCGCCTGGGAAGGCCTGCCTGGCACGGAACGGCTGACAGCTTTGGACACCATCAGTGATCCAGCTCTGCCAGCGTCACGGCTCTCCAGAAACACCCCGCCGCAGGGCTGCAGGGAGCAGAGCCCCAACTCACACACCTCACCTCTTTCTGAGCATAGCTCCGTTTCCAAACACACCGGCAGCCGTGCCTTAAGAGCAAATTTTCACAACTGCAAGGGATGGAAACAGAGCTTTGCACATGCACGTGTGTTTGCAGAACATGGCGTTTGCTTCAACAAGCCCAGAGCAGCCGTCTTCACCTCCCTGAGGGGCTGTCCATGAACTTGCYATGGGGCTAACTGGGGGATACCCCGATTATAAACTTAGGCCTACTCTGCTGGGCCCCGTCTCTTGCAGGGACCACACGTCAAGGACTGATGAGCCCAGGGGCCCATGGCAATCCCTTCTATCACTTGGGGGCGCGACAATCACGGAGGTGCTCTGAATAAGTATTCCGAAATGCCACTGGCATCCCAGTGCTTGGGAAGCCCTGCACCTCCCTCCTGCTCCCCTCCCTCCTGCACCTCCCTCCCGCTCCCCCCGCGTTTTCAGCCACTCGTGCTTCGTCCCCGCGGCAGAGCCGGGCCAGGCCGCCCCAGAGGGCGGCCACTAAGGCGGCTCAGACCCACTGCCATCCACATCCCGCCCAGGGCCGCCTCCCTCCCGGCCTCCCGCCATGGCCCAACATGGCGGCGCGGCGCGCCCCCGCCGCCCACGTGACCCCGCCACAAAGCCGGGGGGGAGCGGTTGCCGCGGCAACGGCCGTGGCGTCCTGGCCGGCCTGTGGCGCCTACGGCGCGCGGCGAGCGGCAGAAAGGGTGGGCGGCGGCGCGGGGCGCGCGCGCCT